TCTTCAAATTAATTGCAAATCAATTAATCAAAATCAAATTAATACTTTCATGGTAATTGTTCGAATGAGCTCTTCACTATAGTACCTAGAGTTTTTGAATTTAAGCGCAGTACTAAACTGGCATCAAGTTTTCATCAATTTACAGTTGAGCTGGCTAGATGTAGCTGTAAATTCTATGCTAACAATTTCTTCTCTCACACTTTTCACTTGTGGAACTCCCTTCCAACGTCATGCTTCCCAGCCAACTTTAATCTTAAAAAATTTAAATGCAATATCAATCGCTATCTACTGTCCACCTAATTACTCTCTTCTCATTGTTAATGTTTCTGTTCCTAATTTTTCCAGACCCTGTAAGCCTTTGTGTTTTAATGGCATTATTTTATTGCCTTGCCTGGAATGATTCCGATAAAAAAAAAAAAAAAAAAATATCAAGTAGAAAATTTATTGAATAAACTATTCTATAAACACAGGACTATTAAGTACTCAATAGATTGATACCTAACATTTATGAAGGAGGAACTGGTACTATTTATAAGTTTTTATAGTTAAGTTTCATTAGAAATGTTAAATGAAATAAAAAAAGTTTCATTAGCTATGTTAAATGAAATAAAAATCTAAATATGAAATAGTGTCCTAGTATTAAAGGAATTGGGTTTGCTAAATTAAATTTGAATCATATTTTATAAGAATTAAAAATCTCTAAAAGATTAACCTGACACACACACACACACATTATCATTGTTGTTGTGGGTATAAGAATACCAGCTTCAATAGATTACAATTTGGTTAGTTACTTTTATTAAATAACTTGAAAGCATTAAAACTCATTAAAATCAAATCATTTAAATAATTAAAATCAAGTTTAATTAATGTTTAAAATGTTATGCTTAATTAAAGCATATTTTAATCATTAAAAAAGGCATTAAAAACATTAAAAATTATTGAAAGCATTAAACTGACACACACAAACATTATCATTCTTCTTGTTCTAAGAAAATCAACTTTAATAAATTGCGATATGGTCAGTTACTTTTATTAAATAACTGACAAAAATATACTTGTGATGAGGCAGTAATTACCACATGTTAATTTATTTACAATATAGTAGATAACAAAACAAAAAAAAAGTCTATTTTCAATTCTAGTTGTATCTTTCTACGAGTATATACAAAAAGATATTCTATAATCTTAGAAGAATACATACACTAGACAATGCTTGTATTATTTATCAAGTAAATTCCAGACAAAGGCATTTCATATTTACACTCTTCATGAATGCTAACTGGACTCATGGAATCCAGAGAAGAGACAAACATCAAGAAGACAATGTTTTTTTTTGGCAGATATAACTGCAATGTGAAGGAGGTAGGCAAGCCTTGCAAAGAATTTCAAGTGGTTTATTTTCCTGCTGAGTTTTTAAGGGATAGTCATTAAAGAAAGCATTAAAGTTATACAGGGTTTATCAACTAAAGATAGTATATTATCTCTCATGTCCAGGACATAACATAACTTGCCAAGCTTCCTTGGAGAGACATGAAGTAAAAAAAAATATTTTTTTTTATCTATTTTATTTTGGGATAGGTAAACAAAGTGCTGAAAAAAAAAAAAAAAAAATAGCACTTCAGCCACTGGACTATAATCTTTGAAATCAACAGTTCAAGTCACAAATTTGGATAGTTAGGCTTTTGTACAGCTGCCTCAAAATGAGACATTGATAAATTTCTAATATCAAGAGGTACACACACACACACACACACTACAGTTCAAAAGTTTGAAGCCATACCTAGAATTAGCATGGGATGAATTTGACAAAGTGAAAAGTGAAGAAAAAAAGAAAAAAAAGAAAAAGAGCTCCTAGAGTCATTGAAAAAAGAAAGAAAATTATTATCAAACTTATACTTTAAGAAACCTTTGCAATGATTACCAAAAATTTGTCCTACGGTACTTAGTGGAAAGTGTTCACAACCTGTGATAGAGCTAACATATTCAGTTGTATGGATATTAGTTTGATTATATAATATAATCCATACAACTGAAAATATATATATATATATATATATATATATATATATATATATATATATATATATATATATATATATATATATATATATATATATATATATATATATATATATATATGTAAGCAAATATATGGATATAGATCTGACAGTATGAAGAAAAATATACAGAAAAAAAAAACAAAAATCTTAATATGCAATTATTATGTCCATCATCTTTTTTTCATGTTGAATTTGAATATAGTCTGATGTTAATTATGTTTTTATGAATATGTCCTGATGATGATGATGGTCTAAAATAGACTGAAACGTCCGACGTTGACATTATATTAACATTAATACAGCATAATTGCATATTAAGATTTTTGTTTGTTTTTTTCTGTATATATATATATATATATATATATATATATATATATATATATATATATAGAAAGAGAGAGAGAGAGAGAGAGAGAGGGATCTCCTGGTGATTTCAGCATATAAGGATCTGACAACTACATTCAGTTTTTATGTTTGCATATGTGACACTTCAGTCCCACTAGTGATTTGTATACAAGTCCATATATATATATATATCCCAACAAATAAATGGACTCCTACACTATTTTAAAACTATAAATATGAAAATATTAAAATTGAAATTTTAGAATAGTCAGTTTTCAATCTGAACCTGATGATTGTTTCATGTATGCAACTCTGGTTGTACCAAATGGGGAGGAACAAAATGTATATTTATTATTAATGTGTGTATGTATGTTTTCCTTTCTGACCCTAACTTGATGACTTTTTTGCTACTAAAGTAAGCAAACAAAAGTTTAAACTCTAGGTGAAAGATCAGGAACTACTGATCTTTCATATTAATTTTGCTAAAAACAAAAAACAAAATAGATAAGTATTTAAGCAATAAACTAGTTTTCTTAAGAAAGATCGAGGAATATTTCAATGTTTTATGAGTTTACAAAAGAAATTTCATTCATTTTAGTAATATTGTTTAAATTTGCTTTTATATGATGATGTATTTAAATACTTACAAAATTAGTGTTTGGAGACCTAGATCAAATACAATTCAAGTTAGATGGTCTGACATTTTATCAAACATCAGAATTCAGCTGGCTGTGATAGATAGGAAGCAGGCACTTTTAGTTATTCAAAATTTTCATGTTGGTTTGGCGTTGAGATTTTGTGAAACGTTTCCATTCTTTTATTGGCTCCTCTCCTTAATAATGTATTTTTCTCATAATTCTTCAAACCCCTTGTGTCTTAGTAGCTTTTTGTTTTGCTTGGGGTGAAATGATAAAAAAATTAGAGTGAAAGTATCAAAATCTATGACTCAAGTTAAATTAATATGGGGTTAAAGTTGAGCCAAAAGTTGAGCCCACATTTCCACATAATTTATTTTCTACCTTGTTTGCTTTGTACAAAGAAAATTTTTAATATTCAAATGATGTGTGACACAGAAATCCAAAGGTGCATTGGTATAGTGAAAGGTACCTTTCAAAACTGAGCAAAGTATTAAGAAAAAAATATTCTTAGAAACAAAGAAAAGAACTCTTATATAGTATCAGTCCTCTAATATAACAGTGAATGCTGGACAATCTCCTCACAGATGAAGACAAGACATGAAGCAACAAAAATGTGGTTCTACAGGATACTGAAAATATCATGGACTGAACATGTGAGGAATGACAAAGTTCTAGAGGCAATGGCAACAAAAGAGAGACTTATAATTAACATCAGGAAAAGACAGTTGAAATTTCTGCAGCACATAAAGAGGAAAGAGGGCTTGAAAAATTTGATACTCACAGGAAAGATTGAAGGTAAGAGGGCCAGAGGAAAGAAATGCACATGAAGAAGAGACTTGAAGCAAAAGAATTGTGGTTCTATAGAAGGATGCTGAGAATACCATGGATCAAACATGTGAGCAATGTCTATGTTCTAGAGACAAAAGTAACAAAAAAGGACACTTACACTTAATATCATGAAGAGATTGTTAAAATATCTAGGGCACATAATGAGGAAAGAGTGCTTTGAAAATTTGATACTCACAGGACAGATTGAAGGCAAGAGGGACAGAGAAAAACAATGTATAACCTACCTAGTGAGCTTGAGCGAATAGATGGCAGAGTAGGGTTTGGGAGAGATGGTAAAAGACAACAGTTATTAAGAATGACAAATGACTGGAAATTGTGGAGAGCCATGATTGCCAATGTCCTGAAAGGACAATCACATAAAAGTAGTTAATCAAGCCACACATTTGATACTTGTTTATTTGTCCGAGTTTGCTTTACTGCTACACATAAAATAAAGATTAACTAAAATAAATTGTGTTTATGATAACAATAAAACAAAGTTGCTGCACAAAACAATACATGTAAATTATTGAAACTAATGAGAATCTTGAAATCAAATTTTCAAGTATTTATTTATTTTTCTTCCAAAACGAGACCATTAAGAACAGGAATGCTCTTCTGAGCTACAGCGTTATCAAATATTCAAATCAAAAAGTCTTTCACTTTACATTTTATTTGAACAATCTTATTTTTCATTTGCTATATTAAATGTAAATTTATAAAATTTACAGTTAAATGGTGAGGAGTTAGCTATTCAAACACTAATGCACACACAAATAAAAAGCAACACACTGCAGGCAGCCTAAAAAAAAAAAGAATTCACATTTATTTACATTTTCTCCATATAAAGAGAAAAAAAGAAGATAATTAAAACTAAAGGGAACCCATTAATTTATACAGGCTAAATACATTCAACACTTTTCAAGTTTCACGTTCTTTTATTTTATACACTTTATGCAAAACAGCATCCTGTAGTCTGGCTAAAATCCATTATGATGTTTATTAGTATTTGAAAAGATTTTTTATGGTGGTGGGGGGACAATAGAGACTGGAAATAACTCATAATGAATATTCCCTGTAAAGCAATAGGTTTTTTAAGTTCGGATCATCAACAAATATTTCTCCATCAAGAGAGGGTCCGAGAGGGGGGATGAGAGAGAAAGAGGGGGGATGAGAGAGAGAGGGGGATGAGAGAGAGGGGGGGGGAGAGAGAAAGGGGGATGAGAGAGAGGGGAGAGAGAGGGGGCTGAGAGTGTGTGTGAGGGGCTGAGAGAGTGTGTGAGAAGGCTGAGAGAGTGTGTGTGAGAAGGCTGAGAGAGTGTGTGAGAAGGCTGAGAGTGTGTGTGAAGGCTGAGAGAGTGTGTGAGAAGGCTGAGAGTGTGTGTGAGAAGGCTGAGAGAGTGTGTGTGAGAAGGCTGAGAGAGTGTGTGTGAGAAGGCTGAGAGAGTGTGTGTGAGAAGGCTGAGAGAGTGTGTGTGAGAAGGCTGAGAGAGTGTGTGTGAGAAGGCTGAGAGAGGTGTGTGTGAGAAGGCTGAGAGAGTGTGTGTGGAGAAGGCTGAGAGTGTGTGAGAAGGCTGAGAGAGTGTGTGAGAAGGCTGAGAGAGTGTGTGTGAGAAGGCTGAGAGAGTGTGTGTGAGAAGGCTGAGAGAGTGTGTGTTAGAGACCTTCCTGTTGATCTCACATAGCTGACATTAATAAAACCCCAATTTCAGGATTTGCAAATTGTCCTGTCTAGAGTTCACACTTGGTTAACTCCTTGACTTACTGTCCCTTTGTGATAAAAAGGGTTTGTAAAAACCACTTTGACAAACTGTCATTTGGATTTTGGGTTGGCCATAAGTAATTTTTGTTTCACATGAAGCCTTTTGCTTCAGACAATTATCAGGATGTTCTTGTACCTATTATCACAGCATTTGCTTTACATTGGAGTCATTGACAAACTTAGCCTAATTTACAATGTCTGCCTTGTCCTTTTCAAAGCATTTCTGATAGAGAAAATTCACATACTCTACCAATTTTTATGGTATTTCATTGTTGAGTGCTTATGCTGGTAAATTAAATCCTATCAAGGTCAAATAAACATTGAGTACTTGAATGTAATTTTCATCAATTATTGTGAAGTTGATAATACCCAAATGTAACTAATAATTTGTATTTTAATTGTCAACCAAGATTTTCAAGTTCTTCAATGAAAGAACTCACTGTAAGAAAAAAGATCTTTACTTTTAAAAGAGTATCATTATTAATAATAAGAATACTTTCACTAATAAATTATGAAGTTTTCTTAAAAATACATATCTACAGTGTTCTTGAAGTGAAGATGTTTAATGCTGAAAATGTGTGTGTTCAAATAATTTATCTACACATGCAGAAAGTACACACTTGAGTAATGCAAATCTGTCGAATGGATCCTCTGTGTGAATATTTATCTTGACCATGCCAGCTGGTTGAAAAACCACCATATTTAACCACTCATTGTAGGGGTTCATGAATTCTATTTACAACAAATTAACTAATAGATGATTAGAAATTTTTGTAGTTATTAACCTTCAAATTTTTAACTAAACCATTTAATTAATCCACAGAGATACATTGGTGAAAGCATGAGAATTATTCAATTTACCCCCATAGATTGGATAAAAGATTAAATTTTAAAATTTAAATAAGGTAATCAAGTACAAAAATGAATATCTGAAGAAAGCCAGAAGGTACAATATCTGAAATGTGAATATAACCAAATTAAGCATGCTGGTCTGAATAGCAAAGCATATAAGACTTCATATTCTGTTATGTGGAAATAATGAAAAGTTCTCAACCTGATCAACTTTCAGTGGTTTTATTTATTTTTAAGGGCTTAAAAATCCTGATCAAACACAGCACTTTTGTTATCCTTTATACAAAAGTTGAAAATAAATAAAAATACCATTTTTCAACAAAACAATATATATATATATATATATATATATATATAAATAAATAAATAAATATGGATTTTTTTTTTTATCTGACATTTCTTATTACTATAATTATTTTTAGTAGGTACACATATTTGTAATTAATATCACTAATTGATTTGTTTTCTATGACTTATCAACCCTTTGCAGGTTATTTAAAGCCAGGAAACATTTTTAGATTGTAATAAGTTTTTTTTTTATAATAATGGTTTAGTGATACAAGTTTTACTAATTATACCATAGCTGTGGGGAGAGTGGGTGGATTCATACCTTTCCCAAAGGTATTTGCATGCAAGTGAATATAACAAACCTAATGAGAATTGGAACTCTGCTCTCCATTTAGCAATTCCAAGCCATTATCCATTACATCACCTGCACGCCCATCCAAGCTTACAGAATGTGTTATGTGTGTGTGTGTGTATATATATATATATATATATATATATATATATATAAGTTTCAATGAAGACAATTGGCAAAGCAATATGATTAAGCTTTTTATTAAATTTTTCTTATATTTTCTTTGTATTTTCCTTTCTGGACAGAGTGTGTAAAAACTGTACAAATGTTCTATGGATACAAGCACTTTTGGTTTATCTATTAGCCATTAACAAGGATGTTTTTTTTTTTTTGTTTTTAACTGAACGTGATTTATATATATATATATATATATATACGTGTGTGTGTGTGTGTGTGTGTGTGTGTGCATAAATATTCTCAGATGGAGTATCTGTAGAAAAGACAAAATGAATAAAAAAAAAAGAGGATACTATATTTTTGTCAGTCTGTTAGATGACAAAACAAGTATAGTTTTTCCTCATCTTATATATTATATAAAAATAAAAGGATGGGAATGTTTTCCTTTCAGGTTTCCAAATGGGGTCTGCACATTGTGACCATGTTCTTAGTTGATATTACTAAGAGTTGGATTTTTCATTATTAATGCTGCTATCATTTTTACTCGTTTTTTTTTTTTGCATGTGGATAAGACTATTATGGCCATATTTTCCACAAATATGTTGTGGACAGAGGTTGGTAGATATTTGTATACTTTCATCTTGCAGTGATAAATTCTTATCTTCCACATATAGTAAATGTGTCTCACTGATGTTAATCTTTGAGATGTCACTTTATATTTATATACTTAGTTTTTGAGTGATTATATTTCTTATTCATCTTCACGTATTGATTGATACTTTGGAAAACACTGACTCATTCAAACTGTCTACTAGTAAGAGCAAAATCCTCCCAGATCTACTTCTTCAACAACTGTTATGTCTGTCTAAAGATATTTTCTTTTCTTTATTTTGTCATCTTTTCTTTCCAATATGTAAAACAAAATATCACCATAAAAAAAAAGAAAGAAAAAGTGATTGTTGTTCTTTTAAGACAACAAACTATTAGAAAAACACAAGCCTCTATTTTCAATGCCTCTACATTCAATTTTTTTTTTTGTTTGTTTGATTGTGTCAATAGACATTTTCCAACAATTCAGCCTGAGTGATTATTATATGCAGTCTTGTTACATCTCACTGCATTTGTGGGAAGACAACATTTTAAATTAATTTTTAGCATACAATGCATCCACCAAAGTAACGGCTAAGTGGTAATGTTTTTTTTTTCAAATTGTTCTAAGGTTTGCCGTTCAAAAACCAGGCAGATCAAGTAGCAACTAAGAATAAATGCTATCTATTTCAAATACAAAACTGATGATCTTTGCTGCCATAAAAAAAAAAAAAAAAAAAATTCACATCAAGCCTAAAAGCCCTTATTAGTGATTGATATTTCAAATGTTAGTTATGTTACTGTTGTAGCATACCTACAGATGATAATGGGTATTCACATAAATACAGTAGTAAATACTGTATGTTGGTCTAGAGTTGGAGATTCATTGTGGAATTCACTTGAATCACTTCTAGAAATTGACTACTTCTAAGCAATACTGTCAAATCTTATATGTGTTGTTTGTCCTAAGTTGTTCATTACCAACCTTCATTTGATTATTCTATTCAGTAACATTCCCTAGGTTACAACAGTTACTAAAACACTTTAATTTATTTACAGTGTAAAGAAAAGTGAGGATAATAAGAAGCCATATCATAAATGTAAAAAAATCAAAGATTAATAAAAAAAAAAAAAAAATTCCTAAGAAATTATTACAATGTCATATTCAGTAGATACAACACTGGACATGAAACCTGAAAGCTATATGTCAAACCTTAATATATATTTTGTTTTAAACATTTCACCCCAAGAAAGGTGGTAATGCCTCTAAGATGCAAGGTGTTACAGGGTGTAAAAGAGAATGAAAAGACTAGAGAAGAGAAATGAGGAAAAGAACAACAAAGGAACAGGATTCAGGAAGTCAGAAGATGGCAATTGATATTGCATTTAAATTTTTGGAGATTAGGCAGCAGGGAAGCAAGAAATCAGAAAGGAGTTTCACAGGTCAAAAGTAAGAGAAAAACTATTAGAATAGAACTGATGGCATCTACCTCGTTCAACAGTAAAATGGTGAAACTTAGTTGCAAATCTATAGTAGTATGCTTAAATTCATGCAGTTAAGGCACTAAAGAGAACAGCTCAACAAACTGATTGCCATGAAAATATTTTTATAAAACATAGAAGGAAGCCATGTCAAGATCGATTATATTACAAATGCTTCTTTGAATCTTGTAAAATAATTTTGAGATATATAGTAGGAGCACCAGACCAGACCAGACATGGCAGTAATATTCAATGCATAGACAAATGGTAATATTACAGAAACTTTTTGCTTGCTGAACGCTTGAAACTTAAACCTGACAACAAAGTGTAAATGAAAGAATCAGCTTCCTTAAAAAAACTTGTAGATTCTAAAATCTCAGAATTAATTCTCAATGAAAATAAAAATGTTAAAAATTTTAATCTGGTGAATATTTTGCTCTGAATATTGTATTCCACTTATTTTATTGTAACTGTAAGGATGTTTACTCCTTTGAGCTTTACTGTATCTCACTTTGCAGTAGATCTTGTGGTTTCCTCAGTAACTACTATTCTATCTAATAACTAAAAAGAATCATCTCAGTGACATCTAACCATACATGCTCAGAAACAGGGTGTAGCATAAGAACAAATTTTAAAATGAGAGTCCACATGTACATGAAACTAGAGACAAAAATTGCTAAAATCCTCTCAGAATTTTCCCTTTAGAGACACCTCAGGCACTAGCCTCTTCCTGAAAGAAGAGTACTGCCTGTGGGGGGGGGGGCCCTGGAGCTTGAGCACTCATCAATTAATGCTTCAAAACTAAAAGGCAGAGAGAGAAGCAATGAGATTAATAGAATCACCTCAGCACCCACACTGTCTTTGTAGTTTTATTTATATATTGTCCTACTAGATATAAACTGTGAACCTTGAGTCAGGGGCTGATACATAACAAAGAAATACTAATTTTATTTTAGCAATCTTAAAAAATTAGAACAAGTCCACCCTTTTTTCTTTTTTTTTTTTGAGATATTTTATCAAGTTGTTTACTATTTGACAACCAGTTGGAAGATACAGTCCGACACTTATCTTTGGATAATTCACATGACCAGTTGGAAGATACAGTCCGACACTTATCTTTGGATAATTCACATGACCAGTTGGAGGATACAGTCTGACACTGTTATCTTTGGATAATTGACACTACTAGCTGGAACATAC